TACAGTACATCTGTAATCAGAAAAACATACACTGAAGACAAAGTTATACAGTACATCTGTAATCAGAAAAACATACACTGAAGACAAAGTTATACAGTACATCTGTAATCAGAAAAACATACACTGAAGACAAAGTTATACAGTACATCTGTAATCAGAAAAACATACACTGAAGACACAGTTATACAGTACATCTGTAATCAGAAAAACATACACTGAAGACAAAGTTATACAGTACATCTGTAATCAGAAAAAACATACACTGAAGACAAAGTTATACAGTACATCTGTAATCAGAAAAACATACACTGAAGACAAAGTTATACAGTACATCTGTAATCAGAAAAACATACACTGAAGACAAAGTTATACAGTACATCTGTAATCAGAAAAACATACACTGAAGACAAAGTTATACAGTACATCTGTAATCAGAAAAACATACACTGAAGACAAAGTTATACAGTACATCTGTACATCTGAAATTATACAGAAAAAAAACATACACTGAATACAAAGTTATACAGTACATCTGTAATCAGAAAAACATACACTGAAGACAAAGTTATACAGTACATCTGTAATCAGAAAAACATACACTGAAGACAAAGTTATACAGTACATCTGTAATCAGAAAAACATACACTGAAGACAAAGTTATACAGTACATCTGTAATCAGAAAAACATACACTGAAGACAAAGTTATACAGTACATCTGTAATCAGAAAAACATACACTGAAGACAAAGTTATACAGTACATCTGTAATCAGAAAAACATACACTGAAGACAAAGTTATACAGTACATCTGTAATCAGAAAAACATACACTGAAGACAAAGTTATACAGTACATCTGTAATCAGAAAAACATACACTGAAGACAAAGTAATACAGTACATCTGTAATCAGAAAAACATACACTGAAGACAAAGTTATACAGTACATCTGTAATCAGAAAAACATACACTGAAGACAAAGTTATACAGTACATCTGTAATCAGAAAAACATACACTGAAGACAAAGTTATACAGTACATCTGTAATCAGAAAAACATACACTGAAGACAAAGTTATACAGTACATCTGTAATCAGAAAAACATACACTGAAGACAAAGTTATACAGTACATCTGTAATCAGAAAAACATACACTGAAGACAAAGTTATACAGTACATCTGTAATCAGAAAAACATACACTGAAGACAAGAAAGTTATACAGTACATCTGTAATCAGAAAAACATACACTGAAGACAAAGTTATACAGTACATCTGTAATCAGAAAAACATACACTGAAGACAAGAAAGTTATACAGTACATCTGTAATCAGAAAAACATACACTGAAGACAAAGTTATACAGTACATCTGTAATCAGAAAAAACATACACTGAAGACAAAGTTATACAGTACATCTGTAATCAGAAAAACATACACTGAAGACAAAGTTATACAGTACATCTGTAATCAGAAAAACATACACTGAAGACAAAGTTATACAGTACATCTGTAATCAGAAAAACATACACTGAAGACAAAGTTATACAGTACATCTGTAATCAGAAAAACATACACTGAAGACAAAGTTATACAGTACATCTGTAATCAGAAAAACATACACTGAAGACAAAGTTATACAGTACATCTGTAATCAGAAAAACATACACTGAAGACAAAGTTATACAGTACATCTGTAATCAGAAAAACATACACTGAAGACAAAGTTATACAGTACATCTGAATCAGAAAAACATACACTGAGAAATACAGTACATCTGTAATCAGAAAAACATTGACTGAAGACAAGAAAGTTATACAGTACATCTGTAATCAGAAAAACATACACTGAAGACAAAGTTATACAGTACATCTGTAATCAGAAAAACATACACTGAAGACAAAGTTATACAGTACATCTGTAATCAGAAAAACATACACTGAAGACAAAGTTATACAGTACATCTGTAATCAGAAAAACATACACATACACTGAAGACAAGAGTTATACAGTACATCTGTAATCAGAAAAACATACACTGAAGACAAAGTTATACAGTACATCTGTAATCAGAAAAACATACACTGAAGACAAAGTTATACAGTACATCTGTAATCAGAAAAACATACACTGAAGACAAAGTTATACAGTACATCTGTAATCAGAAAAACATACACTGAAGACAAAGTTATACAGTACATCTGTAATCAGAAAAACATACACTGAAGACAAAGTTATACAGTACATCTGTAATCAGAAAAAACATACACTGAAGACAAAGTTATACAGTACATCTGTAATCAGAAAAACATACACTGAAGACAAAGTTATACAGTACATCTGTAATCAGAAAAACATACACTGAAAACAAAGTTATACAGTACATCTGTAATCAGAAAAACATACACTGAAGACAAAGTTATACAGTACATCTGTAATCAGAAAAACATACACTGAAGACAAAGTTATACAGTACATCTGTAATCAGAAAAACATACACTGAAGACAAAGTTATACAGTACATCTGTAATCAGAAAAACATACACTGAAGACAAAGTTATACAGTACATCTGTAATCAGAAAAACATACACTGAAGACAAAGTTATACAGTACATCTGTAATCAGAAAAACATACACTGTAAGACAAAGTTAAGACATAAGTTATACAGTACATCTGTAATCAGAAAAACATACACTGAAGACAAAGTTATACAGTACATCTGTAATCAGAAAAACATACACTGAAGACAAAGTTATACAGTACATCTGTAATCAGAAAAACATACACTGAAGACAAAGTTATACAGTACATCTGTAATCAGAAAAACATACACTGAAGACAAAGTTATACAGTACATCTGTAGTCAGAAAAACATACACTGAAGACAAAGTTATACGGTACATCTGTAATCAGAAAAACATACACTGAAGACAAAGTTATACAGTACATCTGTAATCAGAAAAACATACACTGAAGACAAAGTTATACAGTACATCTGTAATCAGAAAAACATACACTGAAGACAAAGTTATACAGTACATCTGTAATCAGAAAAACATACACTGAAGACAAAGTTATACAGTACATCTGTAATCAGAAAAACATACACTGAAGACAAAGTTATACAGTACATCTGTAATCAGAAAAACATACACTGAAGACAAGAAAGTTATACAGTACATCTGTAATCAGAAAAAACATACACTGAAGACAAAGTTATACAGTACATCTGTAATCAGAAAAACATACACTGAAGACAAAGTTATACAGTACATCTGTAATCAGAAAAACATACACTGAAGACAAAGTTATACAGTACATCTGTAATCAGAAAAACATACACTGAAGACAAAGTTATACAAAGTTATACAGTACATCTGTAATCAGAAAAACATACACTGAAGACAAAGTTATACAGTACATCTGTAATCAGAAAAACATACACTGAAGACAAAGTTATACAGTACATCTGTAATCAGAAAAACATACACTGAAGACAAAGTTATACAGTACATCTGTAATCAGAAAAACATACACTGAAGACAAAGTTATACAGTACATCTGTAATCAGAAAAACATACACTGAAGACAGTTATACAGTACATCTGTAATCAGAAAAACATACACTGAAGACAAAGTTATACAGTACATCTGTAATCAGAAAAACATACACTGAAGACAAAGTTATACAGTACATCTGTAATCAGAAAAACATACACTGAAGACAAAGTTATACAGTACATCTGTAATCAGAAAAACATACACTGAAGACAAAGTTATACAGTACATCTGTAATCAGAAAAACATACACTGAAGACAAAGTTATACAGTACATCTGTAATCAGAAAAACATACACTGAAGACAAAGTTATACAGTACATCTGTAATCAGAAAAACATACACTGAAGACAAAGTTATACAGTACATCTGTAATCAGAAAAACATACACTGAAGACAAAGTTATACAGTACATCTGTAATCAGAAAAACATACACTGAAGACAAAGTTATACAGTACATCTGTAATCAGAAAAACATACACTGAAGACAAAGTTATACAGTACATCTGTAATCAGAAAAACATACACTGAAGACAAAGTTATACAGTACATCTGTAATCAGAAAAACATACACTGAAGACAAAGTTATACAGTACATCTGTAATCAGAAAAAACATACACTGAAGACAAAGTTATACAGTACATCTGTAATCAGAAAAAACATACACTGAAGACAATATGTTAGTTGATGCTTAGACATTTATCCTGTTACGTGTCTGTTATTAATGACATATTTAGAACAAGCCAGGATACATCTTGACAGTCTTTACAATTATGAATTTGGAAAGTTTGTGTGATTTCGGCAGTGCTCTTGTCTTCAGGCACTGTGATATTTTCACTAGCTGTATGAAATAAACTAAGCTACCATTAATACAGAGGGTATGAGTCAGATTTTGTTACTATGCAACATTTTATGAAGTAAAATAATTGGAACATCTTCTATTTCATATTTTTTAGTTTGCCTTTTCTGAGATCCATGTATTTAATGAGATATATTTGCATATTGCGGGGAGTTAATGATCCCTTGTCTGTCTGCGAGGCATGTGAATTTCCGATTCCACAGAACACAGATTTAACATCTGATGGAAAAGTGCCAAACTAGGTCTTTCATATAAAATAAGATTGTCAGGTTTTCAAACCAGAAATTCTAGGACTAATTGACAAATTTCTAGTAGAGTTACATCATTTCCATGTTGACTAAGCCATTTATTACTAACAGAGCTATCTGTGGTCTTTTTTTATTCTGAGACACATTTATTGTACATAGTGTAAAAAAACAAACACATGGGTACAGTGGGTACTGGTTTTTATGTAAAATCAATGAAAAAAGACTCTTTATTCTTCTGTGCAAACCATCCTAATTTTTTGCTGCATTAAGAATGATTTGAAAAAAAACCATTATTTCTCTAAATCCTGAAAGATAGTGATTTTGTTACTTTTCAGGAATTGATACGAGGCTGCGGTTCAGTCTGGAGCCTCCTCTTGGTGACAGTGCCTTCGACCAATGGAAAGATGCTATGCAAGCCGTTTCTAGGTTACCACTTGGCATACCGGATGGATTCCGTAGAAAGGTAATTAACAATAATCTGTTTACCTGTACTTTTGTATAATTTCAAGTCTTCATTATAGAGTATGGTTGTCAGGGTCATGGAACAGAACTAACCTTGACATGAATGGTATGAAATCACCCTTTGTTTGTACGGAGAAAGCTTTTTTGTATAAAGTCAAAATATGTGGGTGTAGTTTTTCTTTTAGCCACCATCATCAGATGCTAGGGTGTTAAATTGCCTTGTGGTCCATTACCCATTGTTGTTCATAATATATCTTGGGAAATAGAGGATGGGCATCTCAATTACTTTGTGATGGTCTTCCTGCATGGTGTTCAGTGAGTTACCAACCAGCTGATGCAAGAATGCAGTGCCTTGAATAACCCTGGCTTTTCATTGGATGATTAATCCAACAAACAAGTAATATATGATTAATTTGATATATCATTTCCTCAGTAAACAGGTACGGAAGAATGTTTCAGAATATTCAGGTAAAGTTTTGAGAGATTGTGCTCACGACTCAGAAATTGAAGAATGTATTACTGAAGTTATTACATGCTTTCCCGGATACAACTTATGTATAACTGTTTCCTTGAATGAAAGTCAGATTATTACAGTACTATATGAATGCAGTGAATGAGATACAGAATATTGGATTGGGATATCTCTGTGTTAATAACACAGCAATGTTGATCTGGGATCTGACTAAGTGTTGTAGATTTAATAAAACAGATAATCTTTTCCACCAAAACACCTCTTTAGATGGTTTCTTTCTCTTTAAGTTTTAGTATACAATATCCACGTCTTCAGAAAAAATAATCAGGTTCCCTTGGTCCCGGAGGAGGTCGGTAACATTTAAACCCAACAGCGATCTGTCTTAGGCTTGTATTATATTGCCACTGAATAAAGAATGTTGTCAACAAAGTCGCATAGAGATGGCAAACTGATGTCACCAACACTGACACTGTACCAATCGTGATTAAAATCTTAATATCGAAAGGTCTCCAGCACTGTTACCATATAGTAACTCAGTTTATCATTTAAGTCATTGATGATTTACATAGATTGATGGATAGATAAAAAATAATCAGTACAAGGAAGGAATGTATGACAAACCATCCAACATCAGGACACATGTTTCTGTAGAATATTACATGTTTGAGGCTGTACATTGTGTTTACAACCAATAATACTGACACACAAACCTGCTATAAATTATATAGTCACACAAACCTGATATAAATTATATAGTCACACAAACTTGCTATAAATTATATAGTCACACAAACCTGATATAAATTATATAGTCACACAAACCTGATATAAATTATATAGTCACACAAACTTGCTATAAATTATATAGTCACACAAACTTGCTATAAATTATATAGTCACACAAACCTGATATAAATTATATAGTCACACAAACCTGATATAAATTATATAGTCTCACAAACCTGATATAAATTACATTGTCACACAAACCTGATATAAATTATATAGTCACACAAACCTGATATAAATTATATAGTCACACAAACCTGATATAAATTATATAGACACACAAACCTGCTATAAATTATATAGACACACAAACCTGCTATAAATTATATAGTCACACAAACCTGATATAAATTATATAGTCACACAAACCTGCTATAAATCATATAGTCACACAAACCTGATATAAATTATATAGTCACACAAACCTGATATAAATTATATAGTCACACAAACCTGATATAAATTAAATAGACACACAAACCTGATATAAATTATATAGTCACACAAACCTGATATAAATTATATAGACACACAAACCTGCTATAAATTATATAGTCACACAAACCTGATATAAATTATATAGTCACACAAACCTGATATAAATTACATAGTCACACAAACCTGATATAAATTATATAGTCACACAAACCTGATATAAATTATATAGACACACAAACTTGCTATAAATTATGTAGTCACACAAACCTGATATAAATTATATAGTCACACAAACCTGATATAAATTATATAGTCACACAAACCTGCTATAAATTATATAGTCACACAAACCTGATATAAATTATATAGTCACACAAACCTGATATAAATTATATAGTCACACAAACCTGATATAAATTATATAGTCACACAAACCTGATATAAATTATATAGTCACACAAACTTGCTATAAATTATATAGTCACACAAACTTGCTATAAATTATATAGTCACACAAACCTGATATAAATTATATAGTCACACAAACCTGATATAAATTATATAGTCACACAAACTTGCTATAAATTATGTAGTCACACAAACCTGATATAAATTATATAGTCACACAAACCTGCTATAAATTATATAGTCACACAAACTTGCTATAAATTATGTAGTCACACAAACCTGATATAAATTATATAGTCACACAAACTTGCTATAAATTATGTAGTCACACAAACCTGATATAAATTATATAGACACACAAACCTGCTATAAATTATATAGACACACAAACCTGATATAAATTATATAGTCACACAAACCTGATATAAATTATATAGTCACACAAACCTGATATAAATTATATAGTCACACAAACCTGCTATAAATTATAGAGTCACACAAACATGTGATATAGGCCTCCAGGGAAGCCCAACCTTTATTTGTGAAGATACTTTGCAATGGGCCTCCAGAATGAGGTTCAGTGAGTTAGTCACCAGCTACAACAAGGAAACCCTCATATTGACTCAAGCTATTCATGAGAAGATTGTAATAGATAAAGAAAAATCCATCATTCATACCAATGAACAGTACAAAGCTGCGGAAATTCTGAAATTTGCTGAAAGTGTTTCAGATAAAAAGGTCCAAGCTTTAACGTAGTTGATACTGGCATTGAATATGTTTACAGAGATCAGAATATTAGATAAATTCATACATTATTTCAGTTAACACATTATACAATAAGTTAAATTTTCATTTCACAATGCTCTCTCTTGTCTCCTAGATGGGACATTATAAAGGTGTTACCTACAAATGTCACGTTTAGCTTCTCTGTAAGAAAATCTTGTATTAGACAGAAACACTCAACACTTTTTCAAACAAAGGAGATTTTTAACAAGTTTCATAATCCTACAGCCAGTGATACGGTTGTTTCACTGAAGAAAAAATACCCAATATTTCAAAAAAGATAGCATTTCTAGGTATTATCTTTAGCAACAATTTCTATTTCCTATTTGGTTGATATATATTCCTGGAAGAGAGAAAGTCTACAAAACTAAACAAAGCACAAAAAAATCAATGGTTGCTTCAGAGTGGCTTTCATTAGCATATAAAACCATGTACAGGTTCCCGAAACAGAAAATCATTGGAATCATGTATAAAGAAATCCTGAACACCCACGCTGATATTTTGTGATTAGGATCTCTGTGGAGAAGCCGGAAGCTTTATGTCACAGGAGATTCTACCTGGAGAGACATACTCCTCCAGCAGTCATTTACACCCACTTGTTGCTTATAGTGTTCTAATTACGGCTGAATCGCGAACAAGCCAAGACCAGATAGATGTAACAACACTTCAACCAGGCACACAACCATAGAAACAGAGATTTTTCTGTAAATTTTCCAAACCAATTTTTGATGTAAGATATTTTAATCTTCAAGTTTCAGGCTTTCACGTCTATCTGCCGTATAGGTATACTTAATGTCATTTTATCTTTAAGGACAATGCCAATTATCTTCTACCCTTTTTACAAATGACATAGGAGATGGGAGCATCAGGATTCCAAGATACCTTAGATGTTGATGTTCCATCTTCTGTGTAATTTGTGTTGACAATCCTTGATAGGCTTTATTGAATACTGTTGGGCGTCCATCTTTGTTTTCTGTGATCTAATTAATGGCTGAAGATTACCTGGTTATCTCCCTGTACGAGTTTTTTTATTTTCTACTGTTTTTGTTTCGTTAAGGTTATAGATTTGTTGTGCTGGTAAATATCTTTCAGATACAAACCAAGTGCTAGTGAAATGCACCATCAAGGTACTTCAGGTATTACACTATTTCACCAATTGTTGTAAATCCTAGGATGACTAGAAAGTCATACACAAAATATAGGTGACTGTCACCAGTGATCATGTGACAAGTAGTTATCTGTTGCCTAAAATTTATTGTCACAAATGTGACCCAAAACATTTAAAGTATTATGCATTATTTTAAATCTAGATATTGGTAATTGTCAGTATTTAAAACTGGATTTTATCGTACTTGTATGATATGGGACTGAGAAATGATAACACTGTTCCTATGACTTAGATCTGAAACATGTCAACAACGTGATGCACGAATAAATCATGAATTAGGAAGGGGCTGTTTGTGTTGTCTTCACTCTCGGCTTGCATTATACACTATTCCTATAGTGTAATTTTATCTTTTCACTTTCAGGTTTGGATCAGTTTAGCAGAAAATCATATAAAAGAACTAAGAATTGACTGGGAGAAAACGGTGCGATTTGTTTTCAATGAAAGAAGTAATTTTATCTTTTCACTTTCAGGTTTGGATCAGTTTAGCAGAAAATCATATAAAAGAACTAAGAATAGACTGGGAGAAAACGGTGCGATTTGTTTTCAATGAAAGAAGTAATTTTATCTTTTCACTTTCAGGTTTGGATCAGTTTAGCAGAAAATCATATAAAAGAACTAAGAATAGACTGGGAGAAAACGGTGCGATTTGTTTTCAATGAAAGAAGTAATTTTATCTTTTCACTTTCAGGTTTGGATCAGTTTAGCAGAAAATCATATAAAAGAACTAAGAATAGACTGGGAGAAAACGGTGCGATTTGTTTTCAATGAAAGAAGTAATTTTATCTTTTCACTTTCAGGTTTGGATCAGTTTAGCAGAAAATCATATAAAAGAACTAAGAATTGACTGGGAGAAAACGGTGCGATTTGTTTTCAATGAAAGAAGTAATTTTATCTTTTCACTTTCAGGTTTGGATCAGTTTAGCAGAAAATCATATAAAAGAACTAAGAATAGACTGGGAGAAAACAGTGCGATTTGTTTTCAATGAAAGAAGTAATCCTGATGACAATACATTAGGCCTACAGATAGTTAAGGTAAGTCGTTCAATAAACGTACAACAGTGGTAACTTATGATGGGATACATATCCTAAAGGTAACCATTCACTATGTTAATATTGGTCTAACACTTTTAGATAAGGTGATACTTGCCCTCAAATCTGTGACCAGGGAGGAGATCAGTAGATTATATTAATGTTGGACCTACAGATTACTGAAGTATAATTCTGTGTTTTGTAAATATAATACAGCGTTGGTTGGTCTGTTACATGTTTTTCATCTTCTATAATTACATAATTGGTATTTTTACACATCACCTGGTTAACTTTGATTTGCAGTATCATCAAGTGAACAGATCTTTTGATGTCAAATGTAAATCATTAACAATAATTAAGGTTCAGTTTCTAGTTTGATAGTTTAGTAAAGCATACCGACTGTTTTTGCGTGTAAATATGATATGGGTCGAGTAATAAAGGCACATTATGGTCTGCCTGACTCGTTGGTTGGTTAACCTTCAAGTTTAGCTCTGTGATGTTGTATGTCTGTACTTTAGTCAAGTAAAGGTGATATTACTGTTAGGTGTACAACACTGCAGTGTGATTGGCTATGATCGAGAGTTAATTTCATACCTTGACCTACATTGCCTGTTTAATCTATTAGACAAAATGTGATGTGTAGAATTGTGATTGACATAAGAGTGGAGTACATATATAGTATATAACATATAATACATTATATTACATTTACCTTTTTTCTTTATTCCTTTTTTGTCATCGATTGCAATTTGAAAAATTCCCATTATAAAAATCAGCCCTGCAGTTCAAACACTCAAACATCCTGTATACAGGTGACACTCAAACATCCTGTATACAGGTGACACTAAAACATCCTGTATACAGGTGACACTCAAACATCCTGTATACAGGTGACACTCAAACATCCTGTATACAGGTGACACTCAAACATCCTGCATACAGGTGACACTCAAACATCCTGCATACAGGTGACACTAAAACATCCTGTATACATGTGACACTAAAACATCCTGTATACAGGTGACACTCAAACATCTTGTATACAGGTGACACTCAAACATCCTATATACATGTGACACTAAAACATCCTGTATACAGGTGACACTCAAACATCCTGTATACAGGCGACACTAAAACATCCTGTATACAGGTGACACTCAAACATCCTGTATACAGGCGACACTAAAACATCCTGTATACAGGTGACACTCAAACATCTTGTATATAGGTGACACTAAAACATCCTGTATACAGGTGACACTCAAACATCTTGTATATAGGTGACACTAAAACATCTTGTATACAGGTGACACACAAACATCCTGTATACAGGTGACACTCAAACATCCTGTATACAAGTGACACTAAAACACCTTGTATACAGGTGACACTCAAACATCCTGTATACAGGTGACACTCAACATCCTGTATACAGGTGACACTCAAACATCCTGTATACAGGTGACACTAAAACATCCTGTATACAGGTGACACTAAAACATCTTGTATACAGGTGACACACAAACATCCTGTATACAGGTGACACTCAAACATCCTGTATACAAGTGACACTAAAACACCTTGTATACAGGTGACACTCAAACATCCTGTATACAGGTGACACTCAACATCCTGTATACAGGTGACACTCAAACATCCTGTATACAGGTGACACTCAAACATCATGTATACAGGTGACACTAAAACATCCTGTATACAGGTGACACTCAAACATCTTGTATACAGGTGATACTAAAACATCTTGTATACAGGTGACACTCAACATCCTGTATACAGGTGACACTAAAACATCTTGCATACAGATGACACTCAAACATCATGTATACAGGTGACACTCAAACATCCTGCATACAGGTGACACTCAAACATCCTGTATACAGGTGACACTCAAACATCCTGCATACAGGTGACACTCAAACATCCTGTATACAGGTGACACTCAAACATCCTAAATACAGGTGACACTCAAACATCCTGTATATAGGTGACACTCAAACATCCTTTATACATGTGACACTAAAACATCCTGTATATAGGTGACACTCAAACATCCTGTACACAGATGGCTCTCAAAAATCATGTATACAGATGGTCTGAAATATCCTAGAAACAATTTCATTTAGATCAGCATTTAAATATGGATCATTAAAAATTTCAGAACGAAGTAAAAAATAGATCTGATTATGGCCCATTGTAACATACTGTAGTGAGTTATTTGATGTATAGTCTGTAAAAGCTGTAGATGCTAAGTCATGGGAACACTAAAACCAATGGATATATATTTAGTTTATACTGAAATGATGTAATTTTGATATACAGTGATCAAATAAATAATTAAAGTTAACATCTGATATCCTGTATAGAAAAAAGAATGACTTAAGCAGTCTCGTGTGATGAAATTTGCATCGAGTGGTTGAGTTGGATTGCATATTGTTCAAGTGGATGCTATTACAGGAATACCATCATGGCATATTCCTTACTTTGATTAACGGCTAATACTGTGATCGATGACCAATCCACAGCTACCTGATGTGTGGGCAAATAGTGTGGAAATCTTGGGTGGCAGATCAATAGCAGCAGTGAGGTCAATGTTCTCTGGATCAAGATCAAATTTTGGTTAGATCAGAAAGAAAGAAGGAAATTAAAATATGAAGTCTATATAATGTCAGGACAAAATCAGTGATGATTCATCAGTCACCCAAGAAACCTGATCTGATGTTTAGGCTCTCTCCATTTGAATTATAATTCAGTGTTTGGCTCTACTGTGTTTGATTCTGGATTTGTGCTAAAAGATGCTATTCATTTGTGTGTCTTTTGTAAAATCTTCTATATAATGTTTAAAAAGAGGTCTCATCCTGACCCCAGATGGAAGGTGTGAGTTTCCAGACAATGTCTATAGAAGGACCAGCACCACACTGAGTTCAGTAGTACTGGATGATTTAAGTGTCAATGATATCATTGTTCAAATTCATAATTACTGAAAAAGAATGAAATGTTGACAAATTGACATTGAGTTGGGTTGTTCATAAAGATAAATGTTTTCTGCCCTTACAACACACACTATGTAAACCAGTCTAAATGATGTGAAATCCTGAAAGTGAAAATTCAGTAATTTCCAATTAAATAACAAGTATTTCATACCGACATCAAGCACATCTAAGTTCATATTGCACAAGACTGGTTTCCAGTTAGATCCAGTGATAAACTCTCCACAAGATCCAGGCACAAATGATACATAATTGAAATCTACATTGTCCCATTTAAAGTGGGAAATCTAAATGTTCTATATAAGAAAAACCTGTTAACTTCTTATTTTTTGATGGAAAATGTTCTGATGTTCTTAAATGCAGATAATTCACTGGAGATCATGTTTTCCAAAGAAACCAACCATAGTTTTCACCAACTTAATCTCTTGAAAACCATTTGTAAATCATATGTCCACTTCTTTCAAAGAAATTGTAATTTGGAAAAAGTCTTTTAATATTTATTCAACTGTGAACACCATATGATTGGAGAACAGACAGGTTACTCTTTATAAATGGAATCTTTGCCATAGGGAATATGAAGTCAGCATACTTATCATATACAGGTAAGTGCAGAGCTGTTACTGTTTGGGTTACTGATGGACAAAGTCAGAAAAGCTCTTCTAAAAATATTAAAACAAGTTAGCCAGTAATGGGGCACAGTAAGTTCTCATGGGTTCGTCACTGGGGAACCAGAAGTGGGGCACAGTAAGTTCTGATGGGTTCGTCACTGGGGAACCAGAAGTGGGGCACAGTAAGTTCTCATGGGTTTGTCACTGGGGAACCAGAAGTGGGGCACAGTAAGTTCTCATGGGTTTGTCACTGGGGAACCAGAAGTGGGGCACATTAAGTTCTCATGGGTTTGTCATTCAGGAACCAGAATTGCAGCACAGTAAGTTCTCATGGGTTTGTCATTCAGGACCCAGAATTGCAGCACAGTAAGTTCTCATAGGTTCGTCACTGGGAAACCAGAAGTAGGGCACAGTAAGTTCTCATGGGTTCGTCACTGGGGAACCAGAATTGGAGCACAGTAAGTTCTCATGGGTTCGTCACTGGGGAACCAGAAGTGGGGCACAGTAAGTTCTCATGGGTTTGTCATTCAGGACCCAGAATTGCAGCACAGTAAGTTCTCATAGGTTCGTCACTGGGAAACCAGAAGTGGGGCACAGTAAGTTCTCATGGATTTGTCATTCAGAAAGCAGCATTGCAGCACAGTTAAATTCTGATGGGTTCGTCACTGGGGAACCAGAAGTAGGGCACAGTAAGTTCTCATGGGTTCGTCACTGGGGAACCAGAATTGGAGCACAGTAAGTTCTCATGGGTTCGTCACTGGGGAACCAGAAGTGGGGCACAGTAAGTTCTCATGAGTTTGTCATTCAGGACCCAGAATTGCAGCACAGTAAGTTCTCATAGGTTCGTCACTGGGAAACCAGAAGTGGGGCACAGTAAGTTCTCATGGATTTGTCATTCAGAAAGCAGCATTGCAGCACAGTTAAGTTCTGATGGGTTCGTCACTGGGGAACCAGAAGTAGGGCACAGTAAGTTCTCATGGGTTCGTCACTAGGGAACCAGAATTGGAGCACAGTAAGTTCTTATGGGTTCGTCACTGGGGAACCAGAAGTGGAGCACATTAAGTTCTCATAGGTTCGTCACTGGGAAACCAGAAGTGGGGCACAGTAAGTTCTCATGGATTTGTCATTCAGAAAGCAGAATTGCAGCACAGTTAAGTTCTGATGGGTTTGTCACTGGGGAACCAGAATTGGAGCACAGTAAGTTCTCATGGGTTCGTCACTGGGGAACCAGAAGTAGGGCACAGTAAGTTCTCATGGGTTCGTCACTGGGGAACCAGAATTGGAGCACAGTAAGTTCTCATGTGTTTGTTAGTGAGGAGCCAAAAGTGGGGGATAGTTAGTTCTCATATGTCTCTAAGAAAACAGATCATTTCACCAAGCTTAATGA